GCTGCTGCTGCTGCTGCTGCTGCTGCTGCTGCTGCTGGTAGCTACAGCTCTAATATTTCTTGGGCAGCTTAAGAAACTGGTTCAGTTAACTAGTGTTCACTCTTTTATTTGCACTCTACCATACTGGGCTCACTTCTCTTTATTATTTCTTGCTCCATGGATATACTAGAAAAAAAAAAGTGGGATTTACAGAGGATGAAATAAAGGCCAAGAGATCTCTTAAGGGGAGATCAAGAGGGAAAGGGAGCTTGAGCTGAACATGCCTATATAAGAGTTTAGAAGTTGCTTAGTCAAAGTTTGAAGCCTCTTTGAAATCAAAATCAAGTGTGATCTATGGTGGAGACCAGCATTAAATGTCAATTGTGTGTGTGTATCTATGTGTACATGTGGTACAAGAGAAGCTGCCTCAGAAAGACAATTTCAGACTTATGGGAAGTGCATGACAAACTCACATTCTTCATCATATATTAATTGGTTGACTTTGCAGGTCCCAGAAAGTCGAATGGGCTCCAAGGAAAACCATCTTGCCTGAACCGGACTTGCTCTTGCTAGCTAAGCTCTTGCTAGCTAAGAGCAATTATTCCTTCTTCTGCCTGAGGGTGACTGACATGGTATATTGGAAGGCAGCCTGACATTTTCTGATATGAAACAGACAAAGGATCGCTGGGCTATTATTAAATAAATGGTGTTTCTGGATTTAGAACACAGACGCTCATTACCTGCAGCTGGTTACTGAGAAAGCCATTTCTTTTGCTCTGCATATAAGCATTTGCACTCCCACTCTTTGCTGCACGGATCCTCGCAAGCCGGGCTTTCTGGGGCGGGGGGGGGGGGAGAAAAAGAAAGAAGTGTCACTTGCCTTTATAGCCCTCATATTGTTTTCAAAGAAAGATAATACAGCTAATTGAAAAGATTTCTCCTGAATACCCAGGCTCTCTAATCACCGAAGGAGGGCTTTCAACTGGCTCTCCAGGGGCAGGGTTTCACATTTCCAATGCAAATGATCAAGAAGCATTCATTTCTCAGCAGGCATCAGCCAACAAGAACAATGCATGGGCTTTGAGTCAGTTTACACCTTTTCACATTAGACGCTGTTTCCCCATTTCTACTGTCAAGGTGATCATGTCACCGCTGATACCTTGAGGTGAGGAACCCTGCTTTCATATCATTTCATTTGCACCATTTCTGAGTCCTCCACTAAAAGCAATCTTCAGAAAAAAGGACAAGAGCAGAAGGCCTTGGAGCTGTTCAAATGCTGAGAAGTGTCATCTGTGGTGATTCAGAAAAGTCTGATTGGTCTGACCCAGTGAGAACCGAACCAGTGGCTCTCTGTTCATCTGACTGCTGGACTGGTAATTATGAAAGCAGTACGTACCACAGTCTGGTTTAAGTTACCTTTTTGGATGTACTCCAGAGCACTAAAGTATTTGAACTAAGACTTTTACATTTAAATCGTCTCCTTTGATTTGCCACTATCAAGGGAGTCTAGTAATTCCCACCTTGAAGCAGCAACAATTATAATTAATGCCTGGAAAATATGCTGTCTTGTCATTAGGTCAGGGAACACTATGAAGGAGTAAAAAGCCCATGGGCTGAGAAGCTGCAATCTAAGAAAGCCATGCTAAATCAAACTCCTGAGTTCTCCCTTTTTAATCTATTTTCTTCTAAAAAGCAAAGACTTCAATGGTGAATTCTGTATTAAGGGTTTTGGCATATTGTCTTAAGTGCTGAAATCTTATGAAAAAATCCTTCTAGAACAAATATTGGTACAACTTTAATTAATCTGTATCCAGTCTGGACCTTCTCTCTTGGGGTCAGAAAGATCAAGGATTTGGACATTTGCATCTTATACTTCAGTTTACACCACAATTGTAGTAAAAACTGTTTCAAAGCTGTCATAAGATTGGGAAGGCAAGGTATATTCTCAGACAAAAGGGACTCTCTTGGATTAACCCCATGACTTGACAAGGAACACTCTGTTTTAATATATCCT